TCCTTTATCCTTTGAATTATGAAAACCATTTCAAAACTTGATCTCCAAGAAGGTTGGGCATTGTGTCAGCTTTAAGATGCTGAAAATAGTGCTGGGTTCTTTGCAGGGAGCAAAAAAACCCACTTGGAGTCTGTCATTTGGATTTATGAATGTAAAGTCTGCTCTTTTGACATAATCTTCTTGATTTAAGCTTGTGGTTTCCGCACACAGTTTCCATTAAAATTAATGTAAGTCATCTGGGCAAATCTCTCCCAGGTTGACAAGATGAAAAGTTCAGCTCCTGGGGCTTTATTCCTCACTTATGGGTCCAACACTGACCTGTGCAGGATCCAGCCCACAGCCTGGGTTGGATCCTCCTATCCCTGCTCGGGGACCCTCAGTGATCAGTTATGACGTGCCTGATCTGGACAACCAAAGCACCGGGAAAGGTTAGCAAATGCCTCTGGAAACTGTGCTGCTGAGAGCAGAACGAGCACCAGATACATGCTAGATAAACCAGAAAGCCAGACCTTGCTCACCTCTTCATGCTGCAGAGCTCTTATGGGTTGAGATGTTCTGCCTGGTGTGAAACCAGCTTCAGCCATCAACATCACAGCAACTTCCACAGCAACCTACCACAAATGGGTGAAGAAGGAAATAGAGTAACTCAGCAAAAATCCCAAGCAAGGAGGTTTGGTTGCAAAACAACACAAATGTGTATTGTAAAAGACCATGCAGATATCTCCTCAAATACATTAGCGCCTCATTTGAAGTCAAACCCGCAGGTTTTGCAGAGGATCACCCACATCACACCCATTTGAAAAGCAGCTGGAGGCCAAATCCTTCTCAGATTCAGGTCATCCATGTGACCCCACCATGGCCAGCCCAGGGGAGCATTGCTTGAGAACCAGCCATCCCAATTTCCCCAGATAAAACCACTAGAAGCTGCAGCTCTGTTTGACGGAGAGCCCACAAGTGCTGACTCAGCTCATTGCCTCCCACACAGTTCCCAGTAATGATTTATGTCCTTTTTTGTCCACTGCTATCACATTCTTGACCCTAGGAAAGGGCCACTAGGTTTCTCCAAAACAAGACCTGTCTCTCCATCCCAGCACATATTAGCACGCATTCGCTGGGCACTCAGAAGCAGGGTGCTTCACGTTTTCCCCAAGGAAATTGGGAGAAACCCATTTCCCAGAGCCCTCTTCCTCCTGTCCCTACCTGGGAGGTGAGTTCATTTCTCCATCCCACAGCCCCCAGCCTTGCCCCACGCTCCCTGTTCCCTTCCCCAGTGCCCTGGGGAGGGATGCCTCTCATGGAAATTGTTCCTTAAAGCAAACGGCCTTCAAGAAAACCTCAAAAAAATCCCACAAACCTGCAATATTGGGGCTCCCCTGTGCTAACATAACAGCACTTCTCCTTTCCTTTGAGCCTTTTGCATCCCCAAGCCTGCACCCACCCATATCTACCACCAAATGCCTCCCAGTTGCTCCATCCTGTAAACCTCAGGCTGTGTCCTCCGCCTCGTCCTCCCACAGCTCATCTTGGTGATGGAGAGCAAATATCTCAGAGCTGAACTACAGCTCAGCTTTTTTCCTGAGGTGTATACAAGTATGGTGGAAAATACAAATGTAACCTTCTTCCTCCCCACAAAGGACAAACCCATGCAATTCTTTCCCAGTGAGTGACACAGCCGGTCCAGAAAACACAGCACCCTTCAGGCATTGGTTCCAGTTTGGGGAGGGAGGTGGGATGGAAGGACAGAAAAACAGAGTGAAAAATGAGACAGGTGAAACCAGGGAGCAGAGCTCTCTGCAAATGTTTCACTTTGACACTTGCAACGGTCATGATTCATTTTCCAGTAACTTCATACTGCTCTTAATCAAAATAGTCAGTGCAAAAAAGATGGCATTATGAGCACTTGAGGATTTACAAGAAGTGTTCATTTCAGAGCGCCCGTGTGTGGGGAACCCTGCGGTGGCTGCGACTGCTCCGTGGGCTGGGGACAGCCTGCAAGCGGGGACCACTCGTCACCAGGAACAGCAGCCCCGGCGCAGGTCCTGGCCACGGCCCCCCAGGTTCACACCACACCTCAGCACATGCCTGGGACTGAAAACCGGGTAGATTACCTCCACCGAGTAAATGTCTTGGATTCCTCGGTCGTAGCGGCAAGAGCCTGATCTGCCCATGTATGCTGATTAATAGATTAATGAAAAACTCCATTACATAATTGGAAAATATTATTTTTTTAAGAATGATCAATTAAGTATGTATTTTTTTAAAATGTTGGAAGGCTTTAAGTAGCCTAAAGGAGGAAAGGGGTGTGTGTGGCAGTACTGACTTTACTAGGAGGAGAAGTCCAATGCCATTTCAGTAACTGAATTTAAATTAAAAATTAGAAAAGGAAGCACAGTCTGTACCTACCGTGGGCTATTTTATTTCTCGCCACTCTGCCTTCCCTGCTATCCTTCAGCTCCCTTGCCTTTTACATGGCACACACTGCACTATTGTCTCCTAAAAGCCTTAGTTCAGCAAATGAGAAACATATTGCAGAGTCTGACGTAATTGCAGGCCATGATTCATCCGCATCCCGGTACCTACAGTAGACTCCTTGCTGCTGTCGAGGGCTGCTTCTCATTCCCGCCGCCGGCGGAGGCGTGGAGGGGCCCCGAGGCTGCCGCTCTGGGTATTACACGTGGGAGAATGAAATCATCACGGTTAGCACGAACGGTGAGAGGGGAGACGGGAAAATGTCACAGCTGCTTATTGCTGTGCAATGTCTGGAATTAACCTATTACATCAAATTGTCACCTGCAAGCATAGACCCAGCCCGTGCTCTCCACTATGAGCAGGTTCACCAGACTATAAATCCCAGCGTAATACCAACACTAACGACCCAGCAGCACCATGAAATGGAGATACCTCTCTGATGCTCACCAACCCACATTTGCTGATGGTAGTTGAGTATCTGGCCCAAGCGCTGCCCGAGACCCTTGGGCATCTTCACCGAGGATTTTTCATTTTTTATGGTTAGAAATTGACTTTCCTATTTTGCCTGCCTGCTGGGAAAAGTCTGGCACTAACACTAGTCCCTGATGCTATTGCCTCATGTTCTGCTTAGACTGTAAAAAGCAGAAAAGGAGGAAGAAAAAGTCTTTCCCATTTAAAGGGGAAAAGAATGAATAAGCTAGAGTGATGAGAGGTAAACTGAAAAGTGTAGAAACTGTGAAATCTAATCTGTAAAACACTCATCAAGAAAATTTCCAGCTGCGTCATAGCTCAAATTTCACTTTATCTAGCAAAAACATTTCCCTTTCTCCCAAGGCCTATCATGCTTTTCAGAATAAAAAGAAAATGAAGAGCCTAATGTGAGAAATTTGAGCTAATGTTGTAAACCCTGCAAGCTCTTAAATAGAGACCTTTGTTGGTATTACACAAAGATAAATGATTCCATATAATCCAAAGCTGGTCTGTACTCCTGCTAAGTACCTTAGTCTTGGGTAACTGTAGGAATAAAGAAATATTGTATATAAATCTCTCCATAATATTTTCATGGAGAAAAATAAAGTGCAGTCGGTTTCAAAGAAGACCAATGAAGTTGCTCTTTTCTTCTTGTTTTATTATGCAAGTATGCCATGCAGGTACTTGGACAACAAATGGTTTGTGAAACGTAAGAAATATAGTCGTTGGCATTAGAGTAACGAGAGCAGGATTTTTGATCAGTGCTAATGTATTATTCTTTCATATATATATATATGTACACACACATATATATATATGTGTACACACACGCATATATGTTTGCAACGTTACCATAAATCATGTGAAAACGTAGAGCAGATGTTCTGTAGTAGCCAGGATTATCGTGCCTTGGTTGTGCTTTCATGGGAACCGACCCGCGGCGGGCTCAGCAGAACATGCCTTGTGGATAGAGTAATGGGGCTACTTGAAAAGCATATTTATACATGGGGCTAACCTAGCTTTTTTAAACACGAGAGGTGACTCACCTTCTTAGTCTGCTCTTAGATGAGTCAGACTGTATACAGATGGTTTCATTAGGAGAATATTTTCCAGTAATTGGTCATTTGTAATTGTCTGCACATCCAGAGGACAGGTTTGCTCAGCCGCTTCCCCAGCCCGTGCACAAGGATGCAGCGGGTCGACCAACAGCCTTGTGTGAAACACTGCTGGACCCAAAAGATAAAAAGCCAGAACAGACAGAGTTAAAAAATGACTGGCCAGAAAGAGGTTTACACCTTAATTTCTGGTGGGGAACTGCATATCAGGTGGAAACTGGTCCTGTTTATCCCCACTGTGCTCAAGCAAAGCAATTTGTGTATCTGCATCCCAAAAAGGCCGCCTGAGGGAAGACCAGAATAGCTGTTGTTCTGCATAAGCTGCCTAAATTATGCTTGGTTGGCTGCTCGTATTTGTAAGGACAACATAGTGACTGCTGCAGAGATGTATCGCTTTGCCATCCGTGTTTCTCTACAGCAGAGGTTATAGGGATTGAAATCATAATACTCTCTCTTTATATATAACAATTTATGAGCAACTATGGATTAATGCAGCAAAACCCTCAGCATTACCAAATAAAGTACAGAAATAAATGCACCTTTAAGTGGCATCAGAGAGAATATAGCACAAAACAATGTAAGAAATATCAAGATCTCTTATAATCCGTGTTTCTTAGATTTTTCCAGTCTAGAGTTAATCTGCCATTGCAGCTCCCACATTTGAAAAATGATCAAAACACCATAACTGGAAATTTGTAAGGAACCAGGCACAATGGGAGACCAACAGGCAGGTCAAATACAAAGATTTATGTATAGAAAGAGAGGTCCCAGCTGTGATGGGCAAACAAAGGGGTCACGCACCCCCAGCCCCTCCGCATGCCGGCTTGGCCTTTGGCAGCATTTCCAGCAACTTTTTCCCTATATTTGGGGATCTTCCCTCAGAACATGTGAATTTAGGGCTGCCAAGAGCACACTTCTGTGAGACACCTCGCCACGGTGGGGCCCATGGTGCAAGAAGAGGCCATCTCGGCAAGGTGAGGTGGGGCCATGAACAAAACATAGGAGACATTGCAACACCCCTGCAAATATTTTCCATATGTCGGAGCAGACAGTCAGCAATGAATGAAAAAATTAGAAATTTCACATGTGTACATGCTTTGTGTTTTTTTTTTTAAAGAAAAACCCCCCTAGTTTCTGTGCTATGCTTGCCAAGGGGCAGCTCTAACTCATCCCCTTGGCCATGTCTGTTGAATTTTCCTCTCTACAATTTGCTAAACAGCCGGATTTCCATGGTTACCACGGCTCGCTACCGATACGCCTCAAACATAGTGTACATTTTTGCTGGGGAGACACAGACACCAAATCATTCCTGCACAACAGCCCAGAGCGGTGGGCTGCAGCTGAGCCCCGTGCTGGTCCCTGCCTGGGGCACCAAGGTGACAGCAGGGACTAATCCAGGTGCGGGGTGATGGGAGAGAGATGCTTCATCCTTGCTTCTCCTTGCTCTGGGGAAGAGACATCACGCAGCCACCCCACACAGCTTTAAACATTTGACCAGGGCCACAGGAGACCCTGGATCCCCTTTTCTGGCCTAAGCCCCTGTACATGCACCAGCATCTCCAGCTAAGGTCAGTGTGGCCAACTCCCAACATCCAAATCTTTGTCCCCGTTTCATTTTTGGTACACATGTGCCTAAACACACACACATGCATTGCATCGGTGGTGGGTTCATAGGAGGGAATTACTATGTTAAATTCAACTTTTTTTTAAAAAACCCAATGCAATAATTAATTTCCACCAAGAGATCATATATTTTCCTACTTTTGATGTCCAATAAGCTCATTTCAATCAAGAGTTTGTATAATTTCCTGCTTTCGAAGTCTAATGAGTTAATTGCACAAAAACCTCTATAAAGCACAGAACTCGTTAATAAATGTATAGTCCCTTTGTCCAAGACTTCCAACTTTAAATCAGACGCACAACAACCAGATGTTTTTCACATTACTGCATTTCAAGATTTTACTGGAAGTGATCTCATCATACGTACTTAATGTAGGTGTCCAACTGTGCATGTTATTCATATCACGAATCAGACCTTGCAGCTTTAGGACACTGTGTGGCAAACGTAAGTATTGTTTAAAGTGGATAAAATTTATGCTAAGCTTGCCACGGGGATATGAAGGAGACCAAGTTGGATACAATATGCTGATTTTGATGAGTGTCAGAAGTGAGGAAATTATATCATTCAAGCATTTGAACTTATTGTTAGGAAACACTGAGCCACTGTTTCTGGGAAAGTTATTGAATTTAGCCAATCGAGTAAATCAAAGACTTCTCTGTTTTTGTTTGAAGTCAGAAATTAACTGCAAATGCAAAAGATTGAGACCAGGACAGAGACAGAGCTGAAAAAGAGATGTACATTTTTCAAAAGGAACAAAAACAAAGGCTCACTTGCAGGGAGGGGTGGAATAACGTTTCAGTAGGAAAGCATTGCTTCATCATTTTCGAAGAAAATATATACAGTTAAGTTGCAATTTGAACTTTTTGCTAGGAAGCATGGCGAGCCGGTGGAGCAAGGCTTCCTTCCCTGAAGGGATAGGGAGCACAGGATGCAGCTCAGTCGGCGCGCTTGCACGCCATGGTATTTCCCTAATGACCAAAGCAAGCCGAAACCCACTATGGACTCCAACCTATCAGTACTAATTAGTCTCCTGTTAATTTCAGCAAGAGCTGGCTGAAGGTTATTCAGGACTGTTTATCATCAGAGCTGAGCAGTGAGCAGCCTTTTGCCCAGGGCAAACTCACACCTCCAGTTCATTGCAGAAGAGCCCTAGCAACTCGCCTCCTCTTCCCCCCTATGTCTGAATAAGATTTTGAGTTTCTCCAAGACTGTAAGAAGTCTCACAGGAAGGTCTCTCAGGGGTCTTCATACTCTTTTTGGTTCCTTCTCCCACTGAAAACACCATCAGAGCTCTAACCGTGCAGACCACCCCATGGGGCATTTGCTGAAACAGAGTTGCTGAGGCACTCACACACCATGGCTCAACTCTGAACCAAGAGGCCAAGGAAGAAGGAAAACAAATGTTTAATTCGAGAAACGGGTGAAATCATCTCATCTTGCCCTCCCCATGGATTCATCCCAACCTGCTTTGATGCCATCTTCCTACAGAGATCAGGTTCCTCCATACTGCTCTGCCACAGCTTTCTGGGACATCCTCAACAGTGAAGGGAGGGCTCACAGCCTTTCTACAGAGAAGTGACCATCAGAAATGAAAATATTGCCCCTTTCTACTGGGTCAGCTTTGACTCATAGCACGAGTAATGGGGAAACACGAATACTGACCAGCATCTGGCTGGTTTCCTCTTTCAGAGATGTGGGAAGTTCACCCAATTTCTCAGCCCATTTATTGGGAAGGAAAGGAGGAAGCAGAAATGACTCATTTTCTCTTTCTACCAGGAGAACAGCGTTGAGGAGCTGCTGAACTTGTGCCTCTTGGTTGCAGCCAGATCATCTGAGCCCAATGCATCTGAGCAGGTTCAGTGGAACTTGTCCAACTCCTGGTGTAACAACAAGGATCACGTTGGCATATAAACACAAAGAAGTGTCACATTTAAATGAGGTAATTTTCTCCTTTTAGAGAAATAATAGGCTTTTCAAACACCTTAGCAAGCCCTTTAGTAATGTCTAGAGACAGCTCAAAATAAATAGATAAATCAAACAGCCATGAGCAGGAGAACATGTGGTCCCCGGCTGCACCCAGACCTGAGCTGATGTCCTTGGCATGGCCCTAAGGCATCAGTGGGAGCAGCAGGTCTGGATCTGGGTGCCGAATTGCTCAGTGCAGTTCCCACAGGAATCAGATCGGTTTTTGGCCCTCATTAGATTAATGCACATGGCTGTTGGAGCAGCCGAGGCGATGAGGGGTGCTCTGCCTGGGTGCAGCCAGCACACAGCCTTGCCAAGGTCTTGGCTCTCTCTTCCTTTGCAAGAGGAGTAAATTTGGCACATCGCTCACAACACACTCACCGATATCCCGTCAATAATCTTCGTAAGATCTGTAGCTCATTATGAGGAGAGTATAGACTTGAATTAGGAGGCTGAATCCAATTAGGCTGCACTGAATTGCAATTCTCCAGGTCTTAAAGAGACCACGAAAGCCCGATCCTATTTGAGATGCGCTATTTACATGTTGGACGTTTGCAAAGAGCAGATTTTGCAAACCCTCAGATCATTTTTGCAGCAGTCCTCATTATCTCCATGCCAATTTCTGTCAATCATAACCGGCACTATAAAATAAATAAACCCCCATATTGCTGTAAAGGGGTTGGGAAGCTTCTGGAGGCTTGGCACTCGTGTCGCACTGCTCGCCAGTGGGTGAACCTGGCACAAAAGCTCATTGCTATGAGAATAACAAGGCCTTGATCAACTCAGCCTTCAGCATCAAGCCCTGGTCTGCAATCTAGCAAAATTATCCTCTGCCACTGCTCACCGGGCGCCGGCACACAAGGTGTGTCTGGGCAAGCATGTAGCGAGGCTGCCCAACTCGCACCAGCGCTGCTCCTGCCCAAGCAGGGGCAAAATGCCCACTGGCTTTTTGCAGGACCAGTGCTTGGGTTTATTTTTTTTTATTTTAATTAAAAAAAAAAAAAAGTGTCAAAACAGACTGCTGGCCAAAGCAACTGCTTGATCCCTGGCAATTCTCCGGCACTGCTCGGCTGACACTTGGTGGCAGAGAAATTATTCACGACTGGTTGATACAAGGATTAAAACCAAGCAACTTCTGGACTCAGTGCTACAAAGGAGGGTTTCATAATTGTGGTACCAAGTTCCTCCTGCCCAACTGTACATATTGTGTGGGCAGTTTTTAAAGCCAGGGAAAAAGCCAGTGGAAAAAGCTCCTGTCGGTCTACACAGACACTGGAAGGAGCAACCGTTGAGCATAGAGAGAGGTTTCATACTTGATTTAAGGCAGAGCTAAACTTACACAGTATTGGCACTTTGAAAGCAAGAGCCCAAATATTCAAATGATGCACAGGGTAATGCTTTCCTGTGGCATCTGTGATACAAGAAAGCAATATCCTGCCCTCACTGCAAAAACACTGGGAACAGCCCACCCCAAAAAGCATTACAAAATTTCAACAACCCCAACACAATTTGATACGTAAAGGCTTTGCAAAAGCATATAAAATTAAATATAAAAGGCCACTAATAAGCCTCCTGACTGTTGCCCATTTACAAGTGTTCCACAGCTGGATGTCAGAGTGTTTTCTGAATTACCTATAATAATGCTATACTTTTGTCTAAAATTAAGTAGAGATTGTTTTTGACATGGGGTTAAATGTTTTCAGCCAGCAAAAGGGCCCTGCAATCTTTTTGCCTTTTAAAAAAGAAAGCAGCAGCAGAAGTGAGGGCTGGAGACATCCTTTCCCCAAAAGCCAGCGGTGCCGACTGGAAAAGCCGCTGCACCCTCTGCCGGACACTGCCCAGAGGAGACCTTCAGCCAAACTTCAGGCAGTGCATCTTTTATGTGCTGTCCTGTATAAGAAAAATTCATTTTTCCTGAAGATGCCTTGTCAACTGTACAGCCACAACATGGCTCAAAGCAACTCTCACCCCAGTTAGAGATGACCAGTGGTGCAAGTTGTGCTCTGGGTACCATAAATCCAGCATCAGCCGCAACTAGGAGTGAATGGGCAGCCAACAAGTTTGTTTCCAACAATAAATAAAAGATCTTTTAGTGCAGGCTTCCAAAATGGCTCAGCAGACAGCCTTGCAGCAGCATCCATGAGCAAATGGGGGAGATGCATCCAACATTCTTGGTGTGGGCACATCTGGGTCAGAAATGCCAGAGTGGGGCCAAGCACCCCTCGCTGCCAAGGAGCACCCACCAGCCAGCTGAAATGGCCCAGGCATCCTCCCTCCTGCACCAGGTTTTGAGGATCCACAGCCCTGTGTGAGCTGGACTCACCCCAGAGTCCTTCATGGGATATGGTCTATTTCTGAGGGGCAATGGGGCAAAACCGAGAGGCATCATCCAGCTCCTGAGCTGGACGACCACGATCCGAGATAAAGCGCTCTGGGTTTTCCACAAGAAACCATTAGTCCGTGAGGTTTTCCAGAGCCACAGGACTCCCCCCATTTCACACTATGACCAACTAAACCAAAGCTGTGAGTCCAAGAAGGACCTTGCGAGCAAGGAGGAATTTCTTCTCAGAGCTGCAGGAGCATGCAGACTATCTGCAGACCCTTGATTGTTTCTTGAAAGGAATAAAGCTTCCCCAGCCATTGTTGCATCAAAGCAACAAATCCTAGGGAGGTTTTAATTAACCCTCACGCACCAACGGAAGGAAACACTTAGCAGGAAAAACTGTTTTCCAAGAGAAGCCATACAGGAAAGTTATCAGCAACCCAAGCGATAAAATACAAGGGCAGGAATGAACTGTGGATCTAATAGCAC